TCCTTAGCATTGAGTCTAGTGTATATAGTTCATTTTTAATATATATTTGTTGACTAGTAAATGACCAGTATGCTCTTTCACAGGTCATTTTAATTATTCCACACTTAATGATATACACCAGAAATGAACAATTCATTCACCTATTTTTTTTTTACATTTTGTAAAAGTGTAAATCCTGTGATTTTAATTTATTTGAATCATTCATGTTAATAATTAGTGATGTCTGAGGGAATGACATAATCTATGGAGAAAGCATAGAGTGATCAGAAAACCTAGTTGAATATGCCATGCGCTGTTAGGGATTCATTTTAGGGCCAAGTGACTTTCATTGGAAGACATTGATAAGGATTTAATGGAACAGACACGAGTTACACTGCAAAGGATTATTTGAATTTGTGCAGGTGGAGACAGGAAGAAGTATGTTCTGGATGAAGAGAGAGGTTAATTATGCAAATTTGCTTATATAGATATTCTGCAGTATTCCTTGAATTATTGCTATGAGGGAGATGTAACATTTACTAATTCAGTGTATTCTCAATGCTGGGCTCTATAGAGAATATCAAAGTAGATATAAGTAGTACTTATACTGTGTGTCACATTTTACTGGACATTTTGAAATGGTGTAACCTGAGATATTGTATAAAGAATATAGCAGAGCTTTAAACAATTTTTTTTACGTGAATTAATTTATATTTTAGGATATGTTGAAAATACAAAAATATTTTTGTGGCTTCTATTTTCTTTTGTTTCTTCTCCTCTTAACGTAAGAGACCTTGAAGCCAAATGCTATTTAATTTAGGTAATATGCTTTTTCTTTTAATAGTTTGTTAAATGAGGAGACAGTTATATTTTATTTGTAAAAGAATAATGTTTTTTTCTATTTGTCATAATTATATTTGTCACCTTGTTAAATCAAGGTCTGATAAGAGATGGAATTCACAGAAGTTTGTCCTTGAACCTCATAGGTCTATTTCAGCAGTAATTTCTTTTAAAATTTATTTTAATTTTTTTTAAATTTTACTTTAGGTTCTGGGGTACATGTGCAGGTCATGCAGGGTTGTTGCATAGGTGCATACTATATCCAGCATTTCTCCCCATGTTATCACTCCCCACCCTTCCCACCCCCCGCTATCCCTCCCCTACCCCCCACTCCCAATACCCCCAGTGTGTGCTGCTTCTCTCCCTGAGTCCATGTGCTCTCATTGTTCAACGCCTGCCTATGAGCGAGAACATGCAGTGTTTGGTTTTCTGTTCTTGTGTCAGTTTGCTGAGAATGATGGTTTCCAAATTCATCCAAGTCCCTACAAAGAACACGAACTTATTGTTTTTTATGGCTGCGTAGTATTCCATGGTGTATATGTGCCACATTTTCTTTGTCCAGGCTATCTTTGATGGGCATTTGGGTTGGTTCCAGGTCTTTGCTGTTGTGAACAGGGCTGCAACGTACATATGTGTGCATGTGTCTTTATAGTAGAACGATTATAGTTCTTTGGGTATTATATACCCAGTAATGAGATTGCTGGGTCAAATGGAATTTCTATTTCTAGATCCTTGAGAAATCACCATACTGTCTTCCACAATGGTTGAACTAATTTACATTCCCACCAACTGTGTAAGAGTGTTCCTATTTCTCCACATCCTGTCCAACATCTGTTGTCTCCAGACTTTTTTAATGATCGCAATTCTGACTGGCATGAGATGATATCTCAATTTGGTTTGGATTTGCATTTCTCTAATGACCAGTGATGATGAGCTTTTTTTCATATGTTTCTTGGCCTCATGTATGTCGTCTTTTGTAAGTGTCTGTTCATATCCTTTGCCCACTTTTGAATGGGGTTGTTTTTTTTCTTGTATATCTGTTTTAGTTCTTTGTAGATCTGAATATTAGCCCTTTGTCAGATGGGTACACTGCAAAAACTTTTTCCCATTCTGTTGGTTGCCAGTTCACACTAATGATGATTTCTTTTGCTGTACAGAAGCTCTGAATTTTAATTAGATCCCATTTGTCTATCTTGGCTTTTGTTGCCATTCCTTTTGGTGTTATAGTCATGAAGTCCTTGCCTATGCCTGTGTCCTGGATGGCTTTGCCTATGTTTTCTTCTAGTGTTTTTATGGTGTTAGGTTTTATGTTTAAATCTTTAATCCATCTGGAGTTAATTTTAGTGTAAGGTGACAGGAAGGGGTCCAGTTTCTGCTTTCTGCACATTGCTAGCCAGTTTTTCCAACACTAGTTAACAGGGAATCCTTTCCCCATTGCTTGTTTTTGTCAGGTTTGTCAAAGATCAGATGGTTATAGATAAGTGGTGTTGCTTCTGAAGCCTCTGTTCTGTTCCATTGGTCTCTGTCTGTGTTTTGGTACCAGTACCATGCTGTTTTGATTACTGTGGCCTTGTAGTATCATTTGAAGTCTGACAGTGTGATGCCTCTGGCTTTATTCTTTTTGCTTAGGATTGTCTTGGCTGTGTAGGCTCTATTGTGATTCCATATGAAGTTTAAAGTGTTTTTTTCCAGTTCTGGCATTAATTTCTGGTGTCAGCAATACTTCTCAACTGAGTGATGAGTCTTTTGGCAGTGGAGATTCTATTAAAACACTCGACTTTGAAAAATACTATAGTTCATGTTCTTAGAAAATATTTTAAACTCTGGCACTCTTCTCTTTTGGATTTTGTAAAAAAAAGACATTGCTGTTTTCCTGGCAGTAGACTATTGTTTTTGGTTTGAATTCTGTTATCTTTTATTTGCAGTTCATTAAGTCAAGCGATGACCAAGATAATTATGCTAGTGTATCTCATTGTAATTATTTATTCTAAGAAATAATTTAATATAAAAAGTCCGTAGATCTTACCCAATAATGGCATTAACTTGGAGGTTAATGTTATATTTAGACTCCTCATTTTACATTCTCTCCAAGTGTGTATACTCATATTTATGCAGTTACCTTTCACTTGTAAGATAAATGGCTTCCAGATTTATATTCATTATTTAAATGTTCCTAGGAAACCTCCGTTACTGCCCTTACTCTTCTTTATCTTTTGTAATTACTGATTTACTTGCCTGTCTCTGACCAGTCGGTAAGCTCCTTGAGGGCAGGGACTACATTCAACATCTTCTGGAAGACAGTTGTTAATGCACAAGCAGAATATTTAAATCCTATTGATAGTATTAGATTTAGTGCTGTTCTATTTCAGTTTGCCCTTTTATAGTGTAACCCTTTAGGGGGTCTTACTTTAAGCCTGAAGTACATCCCGGGGCAGTTTCACCTTGGCTGACCTTGAACTCCAACTTACCTTCCCAATACCAAGCAGCTGGCTGCTGAATTGTCTCCTCAGCTATTTGGCTTCCCAGATATTGCTGTCTGCTAGGCTTTTGGATTCTCTTCCTTCTTATGTATGCAGAGTTTAGGTATTGGTAAATTCCTCCACGGTGAATTGTACAAAGATTTGGGGGCTCACTTCCATGTGGTTTCCTCCTCTTTGGGCTGTATCAACCTCAGGTCCTTACAGCTTTGGCTTTCTCAGATTCCAACCTGTGGCTCCTTATCCCACCTAAACTTCTGCTTTCTATTCCCCTGTGCCGTGAATTTAGGTACATATCTTCACAAGAAGAAGCAAGAGTGAATGTGGAACTCACTTTATCCAGCTTCCTTTATCTTGGATAGCAGCCCCATCAGGTTCTGCCTGTTTCCATTATTTCCCAGTGTCTTTTAGCAGTTACTTTATATACTTCTGTCTTTTATTGATTTAGGTGAGAGACTGAGTCCTGATACAAGTTATGTAGTCATGACTGGCCTGAAGTCCATGGGCATGTATTTTTAAAAAATTGTTGTTTTTTTTTTTAAATTGAGCTTAGATTCACATAAAATTAGCTGTTTTAAAATACACATTTCAGTGATGCTTAGTACTGTTGCAATGTGGTGTGTGAATGTGTTTTTATGTATATAAATGATAGTACACCGTAGCTCTTGTTTTGTGTCTCGTTTCCATCTAACAGTATGTTCTAAGAATTTTTTGCTTTCTCTTTTCTATTCTAACTTGCATAGTATGCATTTAACTTATCTAGTCCTTGTGTGATGAACTTACGCTTTTCCTCCAACTCCCTACACTGTATTACAGCTAGCAAGAATTTATTCTTGATACCATTTCCCCCAAGCCAGGTAGGTTATATAGGGGTCTTCTTTGGAAATGTGATGCCCAAAATTTCTAGTTTGAATCATTATCTGAGTTCTGAAGGGATTGAGTTTTGGGGAGATTCCTGGATTTTTTGGAGCTATTCTAGACTTGAAAATTTGAAGATTTATGTTGGCATCAGTCTAATTTCTTGAGCATATCTAAATATCTGTGAACACCACATTTTGCCAGATAAAGGCATGGGAGCACTCTCTACCCCTTGAGGTCTTGGTATGTATAAAAATATATATGGAAAAATTTGGGTGATAGAGATTTTCTACATTCCTTTGGGTGTAGTAGTCCGCAATTCACTGACAGTCTGACTTTAGATGATGATAGTCAGTGTATTTAGTAATCAAACTGAAAATCTGGATATTGCAAACTTCTTTACCGCTTATTAGCTATGTGACTTTGGGCGAGTTATCTAACCTCTCAGAGCCTTCGTTTCACATCTCTATGATTAGGGTTATAACAGTAGTTGTTGGGTTAAAATTAAAGAGAATAATAATGTAAAGCAGTTATCTCAGTTCTGATACAGGTTAAGTGTACAGTAATGTTGATATTTTACCTTATTTACTTTGAATACTAAATGTATTTTTGTGAAAATGGTTATTTTGCTCATATGGTACATTCTATTATTTTTAATGAGTTGTGTTCTTTTCCATTAAGTATAAGCTCATGGAGAACAGAGATTTTTTACCAGAATCTAGCTTAGATTGCTTCTCCTGCAGATTACATTAAGAATGCATTTTACATTTTTTTCCTTTTTTCCCTCTCTTTTGAGAAACAGAAAACATTTGTACTTAAATTCAAAATTGAACTTTTTTTTCTCAGATAACCATGATGACTACACAGACTTCTACTATGACATTTGCTCCTTTTGAGGATACATTGAGTCGGATGTTGTTTGGCTGGCAGCAGCAGTTCTCATCATCTGAGAAGAAAAGTGAAGCAAAATCACCTTCCAATGGCACAGGTTCATTGGCCTCAAAGCCTAGTGCTGTTGCTTCAGATAATGTTAAAAAGAAACGTACTAAGAAGAATGAATAAATTTACTTGAGCTCTACAAGGCCAAAAATTTTTTTTCTTATCTACCTGTTAGATTGTGATATTTCTATGTATATGATGTGAAATGAAGACTATATATATGGAATGGAGGTGACAGAAAGAAAGAAATTCTTTGAGGGAGACTAACCCTTTCTGGATTGTAATTCTTGAGTGTTATGAGTGTATCATGTGAATATGTTTTTCTGGTAAAAAAGATTCTGTTGTGATTATTTGAATAGTTTTATATTAATAAAAGAAGGCAAAATTTTTTACATGTTACAAAAAGCAAACCTGTCATTGAAAAGTAACAAAAATTTTAAACTTTAAAAAATGTAGGTATTTTTATATTTTTAAAATTTGAATCTATTTGAGTTTTAGTTCAGCAGATTTAAAATTTTACATTATTAAAATTGCTAGGTATGGAAAACAATTCCTATTTTATTTTGAACACTGAGAAGAGTAAACTTTTCCTAAAACACTTTATATTATAAATGAAAATAAATTGCTAGTTTATATTTTAGATATAAACGTTGTATTTTTTATTAATACGTCAAATGGAAAATATCTGAAAATTTTTTTCCATAGTGGGTATTTTCTACTAGAAGTAATTTTACCACTTTTCATTGAGAACAGAGCATGAATCTTAATCTGAAGTCTTTCTCATGCCCTTGTTTTAAAAAAACTTTTTTTTCAAAAAAAATCAAGGGTATAATTTTTAATAAATTGTTAATCCCATGTTTTGTAATTTTCATTTTATAAGCTTGGCTTACTCTTCTCAACATTTCTCGTGTTCTTTCTAATCTTCATTGGTCTGAATATATTGGTAGTAGTTACTGTAATTATTCAACAAAAAGTATCTCGATGCAAAAATTTTTCCAGTATGGCTTCTTTGTAGTGTCTACTGTTTTAGTTTTCCAGCTGAATATCTCTGACAAGCTTTCATATAGTTTTGTTATATTTTTATCTATTGTACATGTGTTATTAATTTTATTTTAAGTGATAACTAATCACCTTTATGTGGAAATGGTCTGAGAATTGTCCTCGGGCATTTGGTAGTAACCAGCTAACCAAGAAGAAAAAGAGAAGCCAGGACTTCATATGGCAGTCCATTCAGATGAAGAATGATGACATAAAATCTGGTTTTGTCTTAGCAAAATAAAAAAACAAGATACTACATGATGTGAGATTTTCTTACTTTATGATTTAAAAGTCCAGTGATAACATTAAAACTCTGCGACATAGTTTATTTTACCAAAACCATGAACCTACTACCTGTATCAGGTATTTTGTATGGCTTTTAAGTACTCAAGTCACATTTAAGTTAGAAGTTTTGTTGCTGTTGTTGTTGTTGTTTTAAATTTTTAACAAATATAACACCAGCAGGTACTATACTTTTACTTGCTTAAAAAATTGGGGGAGGACACTTTCGATAGTTTTGGAATGCCTAAGAAGTTTATTTTTAATACTGTGACAGAAAGCATTAAATATTTAAGAGTTTTATATGATATTTGGTACTCTTATAGTTAAAAACTTTTCAAAATTACTACTTTGTTAATTATTGAACGGTTTTGAAGTTTGAGTTTAACTATAGTTGAAATGGAAGGAATTTTGTTTTATACTTGTATTAAAGATAAATTTATTAAAGTAAGTTATTTAGCACCAATGGAGTATTACATTATTTTTTTGTTTCTTCTTTTATATTTTCCTTCAGGTAGGGTTTCAGAACTCATCTAGTGTTTTGACTAATATAGTATATATTGAGTGATTACTGTCCAAATGCATTGGTAGAAACTTTATTAATCTATACAAGTATCTTATAACCCTCGATACAAGGTTCTTAAGTAAAATCTGTACTGGAGAACATGACTTAGGTCTGAAACCCCCATCCTGAATCTGTTCATATCACTTGGAGAGTCTTGCCTTGGATTTGCAAGGCAGGTTGTTAGACTCCTTACCCAATGTGAAACATGAATAAGGCCTATAGACCTGCCTCACACAGTTAATCAGAGGTGGCACTGAGAAAGTCAAGACTTAATAGGTCTCCTTAAAAAAAAAAAAAAAAAAGGAGACAAGAAGCTGGCAAGACCATGGGCCAGCTTACCTCAGTGATACCACCCTCAAGTAAAACGTGGCCAAATGTATTATCAAACTGATTTATCAGATTAGTCACTCTTCCTTACTGAGGGAGTATTAAAGGCTGGAGAGAGAGCATATATGTGGAGTGAGTGGGTTTCATTGGAAATACCAGCCTCCCTGTGAGTAGAGACCCAAAGATAGAGAGATGAGAGAAGAAAGGAGACTCTGGTTAGTGTATTTTTTCTTTTTTCTATTCCTTAAAGCCCAGGCACCTTTCCATTGAAATCCACTTCAAATCACAAGCTGATTACAATTGAGTGGAACATTTCACGTTGTAAATGGAATAGTGTGTTCAGAATGCTCTCCCTTTCCCCCAAGAGAGCCCTTTATAGTGTTGGCCCCAGGTATAATTCACATCCTTGGTTTTTTTCATTAAGTTGTTTATTCAACAAATATTGAGTGCTAGTTATGGGTCAATCATTATCCTAAACTCTGAAGATAACAGAAAACAAGAAAAATGCTTGCTCCCTTGGAGTTTATATTCCAGTGGTGGACAGATAATAAACAGATGTATTCTTGTGGTGATAATAAAAGTTATGAGTAAATATTAAGCAGGATATAAGGATAGAAAGGGGAGTGGGAGTGTTTGTTAAAAGAGGACTGCTAGGCCTTTCTGTTAAAATTGCATTTTAGCAGAGACCTGAAGGACATGAGGGAGCAAGCCATGTAGACTGTGGATAAGTGTAAGAGTCATACTGATCCTTCATATAATTGATTTAAAGCATATATTCCCCCAAATTATTGAATTTATTTTTCTTACTAAGAAAAATTTTACTTTGTAGTTTGTAACAGACATACTTCTTAAACAATTTATTTTTTACTTTTTTTTTCTCTTGAGATAGGATTTACATACAATAAAATACACAAATAGTATACATACCATGCATTGTGAAAAATGCATGTAACTTTATAAACTTAACTTCTACTTAGATATATTACTAGCACTTCTGGAAGTCTCTTTCCAGTCAACTCCCTACAACTGAATTTAACATGAGTCATGCAATATGTTCTCTTTTGTGTAGGCTTCTTTAAAACTCAGCATAATGCTTTTGATATCATCCATCTTGTTGGCTTTATTAGTAGTTTATTCCTCTGTAATTGCTTACTAGTTTCACCTTATAGATATACCACAGTTTTTATCGTATTGATGCACATCAGTGATGTTTCTAGTTTAGAGTTTTCCAAATAAGCTACTCTGAAAATTTTTGTATAAATCTTTTGGTGAACATTTTGGTGAATGATTTCTGTTTCTTTGGGCATATACCTAATAATGGGGATTGCTGGACTGAATGGTAGTTCTGAGTTGTTCGTGAAATCTCCAGACTGCTTTCCAAGATGACTGAAGTTATATACATTTTTACCAGCAGTGTATAAGCATTCTCTTTTCTCTGCAGCCTCACAAGGGTCTGTGATTTTTAAAATTATTTTTTGAAACGTTCTTTATATGTTTAAGTTCTGGGGCACATGTGCAGAATGTGCAGGTTTGTTACATAGTTATACATGGGCCATGGTGGTTTGCTTCATCCATCACCCTGTCATCCACATTAGGTATTTCTCCTAATGCTATCCTTCCCCTAGCTCCCCACGCCTCAGTAGGCCCCAGTGTGTGATGATCCCCTCCCTGTGTCCATGTGTTCTCTCTCACTTATGAGTGAGAACATGCAGTGCTGGTTTTCCGTTCTTGTGTCAGTTTGCTGAGAATGATGGTTTCCAGTTTCATCCATGTCCCTGCAAAGGACATGAACTCATTCTTTTTTATGGCTGCATAGTATTCCATGGTATATACGTGCCACATTTTCTTTATCCAGTCTATCTTTGATGAGCATTTGGGTTGGTTCCAAGTCCCTGCTATTGTGAACAGTGCTGCAGTAAACATACGCCTGCATGCGTCTTTATAATAGAATTTATAATCCTTTGGTTATATACCCAGCAATGGGATTGCTGGGTCAAATGGTATTTGTATTTCTAGATCTTTGAGGAATCACCACACTGTCTTCCACAATGGTTGAAATAATTTACACTCCCACCAACTGTAAAAACATTCCTATTTTTCCACATCCTCTCCAGCATCTGTTGTCTCCAGATTTTTTAACGATTGCCATTTTCTAATTGATGTCAGATGGTATCTCCTTGTAGTTTTGATTTGCATTTCTCTAATGACCAGCGATGATTTTTTTTTTCATATGTTTGCTGGCTGCATAAATGTCTCCTTTTGAGTATTGTCTGTTCATACCCTTCACCCACTTTTTGATAGGTTTTCTTATTTCTTGTAAACTTAAGTTCTTCGTAGATTGTGGAAATTAGCCCTTTTTTAAGTCGGTAGATTGCAAAAATTTCCTCCCATTCTGTAGGTTGCCTGTTCAATCTGATGATAGTTTCTTTTGCCTTGCAGAATCTCTTTAGTTTAATTAGATTCCATTTGTCTATTTTGGCTTTTGTTGCCATTGCTTTTGGTGTTTTAGTCATGAAGTCCTTGCCCATGTTTGTGTCCTGAATGGTATTGTCTAGGTCAGGCGCCCCCAAACTACGGCCCGTGGGCCGCATGTGGCCCCCTGAGGCCATTTATCTGGCCCCCTGCCGCACTTCAGGAAGGGGCACCCCTTTCATTGGTGGTCAGTGAGAGGAGCACAGTATGTGGCGGCCTTCCAACAGTCTGAGGGACAGTGAACTGGCCCCCTGTGTAAAAGGTTTGGGGATGCCTGGTCTAGGTTTTTTTCTAGGGTTTTTATGGTTTTAGGTCTTACATTTAAATCTTTAATCCATCTTGAGTTAATTTTTGTATAAGGTATAAGGAAGGGATCCAGTTTCAGCTTTCTGCATGTGGCTAGCGAGTTTTCCCAACATCATTTATTGAGTAGGGAATTCCTTCCCCATTGCTTGTTTTTGTCAGGTTTGTCAAAGATCAGATGGCTGTAGATGTGTGGTGGTATTTCTCAGGGCTCTGTTCTGTTCCATTTGTCTATATCTCTGTTTTGGTACCAGTACCATGCTGTTTTGATTACTGTAGTCTTGTAGTATAGTTTGAAGTCAGGTAGCATGATGCCTTTAGCTGATTTTTTTGCTTAGGATTGTCTTGGCTTTGCGGGCTCTTTTTTGGTTCCACATGAAATTTAAGGTTTTTTTTTTTTCCAATTCTGAAGTCAAATTGCCCTTCTGTTTTTTTTTTTTTTTTTTTTTTTTTTTTTTTTGCCTTGCGCCAGGCTGCAATGCAATGGCACACTCTCTGCTCACTTCAACCTCTGCCTCCAGGTTCAAATCATTCTCCTGCCTTAGCCTCCCAAGTAGCTGAGATTATAGGGTGTGCTGCCACACCTGGGGAATTTTGTATTTTTAATAGAAGTGGGGGTTCACCATGTTAGCCAGGCTGGTTTTGAACTTCTGATCTCAGGTGATCCACCCATGGCCTCCCAAAGTGCTGAGATTATAGGCATGAGCCACTGTGCTGAGCAAATAATGGCCCTCCTGACTGATGTGAGGTGGTATCTCATTATGATTTCTATTTCTCTAATGATTAGTGATGTTCAGGATTTTTTCATATGCTTGTTGCCACGTGTATGTCTTCTTTTGAAAAGTGTTGATGTCCTTTGCCCTCACCCTGCCCTTTGTTTTTTTAGACTGAGTCACGCTCTGTCTCCTAGGCTTGAGTGCAGTAGTGCAGTGGCACAATTTTGGCTCACTGCAACCTTTGCCTCCTGAGTTCATGTGATTCTCATGCCTCAGCCTCCTGAATAGCTGTGATTACAGGCACACACCACCATGCCCAGCTAATTTTTGTATTTTTAGTAGAGATAGGGTTTCACTTTGTTGCCCAGACTGGTCTCAAACTCCTGGGCTCAGGCAATTCTCCCACCTTAGCCTCCCAAAGTGCTGGGATTACGGGTGTGAACCACCACACCTGGCCCTTTGCCCGTTTTTAAATGGGGTTGCTTGTTTTCTGCTTGTCAATTTGTTTAAGTTCCTTGGAGATTCTGAATGTTAGGCTGTTGTCGGATGCATAGTTTGCAAATATTTTCTCCCATCCTGTAAGTTGTCTGTTTACTCTATTGATAGTTTCTTTTCTTTTCCAAGGCGGATGTCCAGAATGGTGTTTCCTAGGTTATCTTCCAGAGTTTTTACAGTTTTCAGTTTCACATTTACATCTTTAATCCATGTTGTGTTGATTTTTGTGTATGGTAAAAGGAATGGGTTCAGTTTTAATCTTTAGAACATGGTTAAGTTATCCTGGCACCATTTATTTAATAGGGAGTCCTCTCCTCGTTAAGTCTTTTTGTCAACTTTGTTGAAGATTAGATGGTTGTAGGTATGCAGCTTTATTTCTGAGTTCTCCAATGTGTTCCATTGGTCTGTGTGTCTTTTTGTACTAGTATCATGCTGTTTTGGTTACCATATCTTTGTAGTATAGTTTGAAATTGGATAGTGTGATGCCTCCAGCTTTCTTCTGTTTGCTTAGGATTACTTTGGCTATTTGGGTTCTCTTTTGGTTTCATATGAATTTTAGAATACTTTTTTCTAATGCTATGAAAAATG